GTTGCAGGACAGAGGCCCTTGAGGACTGGAGTTTGACGCCCCTGAAACATGCAGGACAGGGGGGCCTGAGGACCGGAATTGAGAAGCACTGTCTTAGACACACATTCAGAGATTGGCAGACTGAGAAACACATCGAACTAGAATGAAAAAGAAGCCAGTGTAAGCTCAAAAGACAAGTTTGATCTTCTTGTATTAAGATCATTTGCTTTGGTTTTGTCAGGTCCTTTTTTTTATTTTAGTTGTTTTGGAGTTTGATTTATTGATTCTAGCTTCATTATTATATTGTGTTCCTCACTCTCTTTCTTTGATTAGATCAGCCTTGTTCAGTTTTACTTTAGTCAGTTATTTGATGATTCTAATGATGATTTTAGTTTATTATGTCTAATTGTTTCTTATGACTGATTATTCTTTAAAACCTAAAGAATCATTAATAAATAAAATTATTAAAACACTTTGTGGGGACTTAATTTGTATGACGTGTTTAACCTGTGAGCTGAGTTACTGAGATACAATATTTTCATAAGTATTCATAAATAGAGCTATGTAAAGATCTGATTGCAACGTTTCTGCGTGTACTGAAGGGGGCAGCAATACGCCATAGTTTGGTTCATCCCGCCTGACCTATGAGGAAGAAGTAAACAAAAGCGTTTATCCTGAAACTTTTGGAGTCTCGCACAAGACTTATGTCTTATGTCTGCTTTATTAAAGGTTATGCTGATACGAGTAGCTCTGTTCAGGTAAGCTTGTCCTTTCAAATACACTTGGGCGCGACAGTGACTAATTTGTTGTCGGTGAACTTGTTGGTAAAGCTGGTTAGGTAATGGTTTCATAATGTTTTCAGGTATCTGTGTGCTCTGCGGCCAACAGCTTGGCTAACAATCTGCTTTGTTAGTTGAAGTTTATGCGAAGTTGCCAGTTCACAGTTAAGCGCCTTTTAACGTCGGGTTTTTTAATGTTTAAAAGGTAAGCCAATGATACTGTTTTTTTTTAAAGTCACTCTTTGGTCACTATTTTTATTTTCTTCGACTAAAGCAATGTTTGTCGAACTAATGCATGTCGGTCGGGAAAAATAGTTGAGGGTTTTGTAATCAACAAAAGCCATTCAATAGTTGAAACATAAATATTAGCCTACCACAGATTAGCACTAGTTAGTAGTTAACTAGTGCTGGTAAACTAAAACTAACTGTTTTAGCTAAGGTTAGAAACAGAGAACAGCAGCAACAAAACACAAAAATTATAAGCTGTAAGTGATGTCTGAACCTGTTTTATTTACCCATTGTCCAGATCATACTTCTGCAAAACACAGTACCATTAGCTGTTTGAAAGCAAAATTTGACCGGCAATAATATTTAAGTTTTTGTACCGTTTATATGATATAAATTATATCCTGAGTATTGTATTTGACCACTTGGATAAACTATCACTTTTATATTCACAACTGATACTAATCTTAACAATTGAAACCTTGACGCTCAGGGGAAGACATTGTAATTGAACAGGATATCCATCCATCCGTCCATCCATTTTCTAGCACCATTATCCTTAGTGAGATTGTGAGGGGTGCTGGTGGTATGTCCAGCAGGTCAACTGTCCAGAGACGGGGTCACCCTAGACAGGTCGCCAGTCCATATTCATTCATTTGTTCCTCAATTAGAAATTACTGGTATACTTCTAATATACAGATTCCTTGTTGATCTGTTTCCCCCCAGTAGTGACTATGGGGATTTCAGTTTCCTGCACCTCTAAGGAAACAACCCTCATTGATAAAGAGGACAGCTTGGCTTCTCCTGTGGAAGATGGAATGACAGAGAATGGCAGTGTGGCTGACGTCTCCCAGTTTCCTTACGTGGAATTCACAGGAAGAGACAGTGTGACGTGTCCAACATGTCAGGGCACCGGGAGAATCCCCAGAGGTGACCATGTACTTCATATATTGCACCCCATGTGTAAGCTGTTCTTGAAAAGATAATGAAGCTTTTTCAGTGTTTGACTACATCAGTTTAATATTGAAAAAAGCAAGATGATGAATCTAATCAAGTTGTGATTGGAGCCAACTTAAAGCCAACAGCAATGACAAGTCCAACATCACAGTTTGCTTCCTGTTTTCCAGGACAGGAGAATCAACTTGTTGCATTGATTCCATACAGTGACCAAAGACTGCGGCCAAGAAGGACGTAAGTGGGTGATTCTTTTTTTGCCCCAACATTCCATGTCTCCATGTTTTGCTTACAATTCTTTTTTGTAAAATGTGCCAAATATTTATAACAAAGTATTTTAGTTATACATTTAGATGTTTGCCATTATTCAAATATAAATGAAATGCCTTTTAAATATTATTTTGTTCTTTTCACACCTTTTTGGTGACCGACATGTTCAATTTCATTGTGTCCCCAGTGCAATGTAATAGACTTCCTCATGAAGTTTAAGCTATAAAATATATATTTTTTTATGTTTTTCTTGAATGAGTTGATTGACTGGACAAACCTTATTTTAATATGCAATTGAATCTACTGAAACTATTTTTTCTTATTTGATATTTTCTTCATATTATACATGTCCCAGTACTAACTTTCCACCCTGTTAGGATGTTAACTTTTTGCCTTCAAAAAGTCTAAAATTCCATAAAAACCCATTTAAAGGAAGTGACATCAATTGGTTTTGAAGTGAATTCAACCATGGAAAAGAAAATAAGCTTCAACTGTCACTATCTCTGTACTTTTTCTATGTTAAACCTGTATGAGTGAAACTTAAAGTTCCACCTTGTTAGGATAGATTGTGGAAAATGTTTGTTCAGTAGAATTTAAAAAAACATTATGTTAGATTTAGTCATTAAAGGTTTGTTATTCTGTTGAAGGTTAACTAGCTAAATGTTGACCACATAAAGAGCTACAGGTAGATTAGTTAGAAAAGTTCCACCCTGTTATGTTCATGAACCAAACAGGGTGAAAATTAGGGTGAAAAGTCATCATTTTAAGTAAAATAAAAAATGTCAGATGATGGAATAGAGTTGCAGAGTAGTCTGAGGTATTATCAGATGTATTTGCCATTTGTCTGTTTTCATTTCACTTGGTACCCCCATTGACTCCTGTGAGGGGAACAATGAGTACCTGTCATAGGAAAATCCACTACAGGGATATCACATGTTTTCCCAAATAGAGCCAGGACAAATACTGTGCCTATACTTTGACTTGAAAGAGGCAATCCTGCAACCAATGATGAAAATCGTCAGATTTTAGAATCGAAGACATTGATTTTCCACCCTGTTATGGGACAATAACGGGGTGTGATGTCCCATTCCACACATGTTTTTATTAAATATTGTTACAGAAACATTAAGTACTGTAAATTTTTCTGTGCCATGTTGGGAATTGAAGACCAATAAATGCAAATATTGGTAGAAGTTTTTAAAATTACCAATATTTTCAATGCTGTCAGTAATAATGAGTAAAAAAAACAACTTTTTTTTGTTTTACAATAGAGACATAAATGATTCTTAACTAAATGATGTGTTACAATTTCAAGAATGAAACATATTATATAGTGAAAGGGACACACTCTTTAAGAAAAATTCATTATTTTTGAAAATTTACATGTTTAACTATTTGTGGTCTATATGTAAATGTTCATAACGGGGTGAAACATATTCAGAGACAATGGTGAAAAAAAACACCTGTAATTATTAATTTATCCAATCCTGAACTTGCCCATTATTAATTTCTTGTTAAACATGTTAGTGTTGTAACACAATATTTAAAACTTAAAACATTAATACTTTTTTTTATTTATTTATTTATTTTTATTTTTTTTCAAAAGTTCTGAAGCCAAAATGTTGCTGCAAAAAAAAAAAAAAAAAATCACCCAAGTATTCTTAGACTTTTTTTGAAGACACATCTGGGGCACTCAAACCTGAAACCACATGTTGACATTTTTCTACTCTGATACCTGTCTTCCAAAATTGATGGTTTCTGGTCTCCCAAAATACCAGATCCGTGTAGACACACAGCCGAAACAAAACAAAATACATTTGCAGATACACTTAATCTCGTCTCCATTTAGACGTGCCCTAAATTACAAACTGACGCTTTGAGCTGATTTCCTGATGTGATCAGAGCTGTCAGCTGCAGTAATACAGGGTGTGTCTGTAAATGATTGATCTTTGTGAATAGAAATGATCTCCATTCTGTAAATGTCCAACTTATGTGATGCAAAAATGGTCCTAATAAAAGTCATAGCACGTTGGCCTGATACAACACATGATTCTTTCATACTGCAGTATCGGCTTCAACAGCATGTTGATTTCCCCACTCACTCCAAGTGGCCTCTTTTTAAACCCTGCCTGAAAACTCTGTTTAAACAACCACTTTCACTTTGATGATTTTGCTCTCTAACTTTTCTTTTTTATTTTCTTATTTAATTTTTTGTCTTCCTCTTTTTTTTTTCTTCCTTTTTTTGTAAGTTGCCCCATTGTGCCCTAATAGATGTCTGTTAAATAAAATGTGTCATTATTAGTAGTAGTACAGGAACCTAAAAGCCGGGGCCATTTCCATGATTATTCTAAATCCGGATTTATCAATATATATATATTGTATAATGTACCAAATTTGCACACTATTTTTACATGTGCATGTTTTGTGCGCCGCAAGTTTCAGAATTTCTTCACCCTGTGAGCGTTCAATAAGCTGCAAACTCTTTCATGCTTGAGGGTCCGGACTGAAAAATTTACTTGAATTCTACAGAAAAGTTAACTTTTAAGTTAAAACCTTTCATAATATCAGTTTTGACAAAAACTTTTACAGAAGATTAGGGTCATTGAGGTAATCCAATCCTTGCTTGATACAATTCAGCTGATGGTCGAATATCATTTTGCTTGCAGAGACATACAGGAGGTTTGCAATCGGATCATTGTTTTGTTTCACCCCAATTAAAGCTCCTCACCTCACCAAAAAGAAAAAAAAGCATCATTTGTCTAAAAGGTTTGAACCAAAGGTTTATAGACATCATGGAGGAACTGCAGGTGTATGGATCGTAGGGCTTCCCCCAGAAAACTAGCTAAGTTCTGTGATAGCAGCGCTGGGTAACCTTCCCAGTTTTTATTACTAGGTAATTATATGTTATTGGAAGACATTATTGACAATACTTAAACACACAAATATAGTGCTGATGTAAATTTTCCAACTTTTTCTAATCATTTTCCTGATCCTTGTCAGGAAGTTGTATGTAAGCGCATCAGTGGTGCTCTGCCTGTTGCTGTCCAGTCTGGCTGTTTTCTTCCTCTTCCCTCGCTCCATTGATGTATCCAATGTGGGAGTCAAGTCTGTTTATGTCAGCTATGACCTGGATCAGCACATTGTCTATCTCAACATCACGGTGAGTTTCGTGTGCTCCTCTCCCCTTCCTATTCTTTTATAGTAGCAGTATTGGGATGCTTTGCTTTATTTTATTTAATTGTGCCTAAGACATACAAAGCTGCTCTAATATCAGTTGACTACTGTTTTCCTTAGCACAAACAGGGGAACAGATCTGTCAAAAGCTACAAATCAGAATAAACTTCCAATTGTAACAACAGCAGAATCCTCCTGCTACTGTTATTTATCAAATGTATTTAACATTTTTATACTTACTGATCCAGTTAGTTGTGGCACATCTGTAGGTAGGCTCAAGTTTACTTTTCTGTGCATTTGATTGATAGTCATGGGAGTTCCACCACAAGGAGGAACAGCATGGTTCATTGTTACAAAACTTGAATAATCATTAGCATCATTATTCCTGTTATCTGGGCTTTCTACACTGGTGTCCTACATGCACAGAGGTTTAGCGTAACTAAATATTTATATTACATATGCAGAATATCACATAAGTAATATGACTTATGTAAGTAAGAATATCCGAGTGAAAGAGGTATACAATACAGTGACACAAATGCCAATCAAATCCCTCCCCTCGCCCCAAAAAATACATTTACGTTTGTAGACCTTAGGTGAAAAAGTTCAGATTTTAGAATAATTTTTCAAGACAATTTAGTAATGTAAACAATATTACATTTTTTTTTTTTTTTGTATGAAGACTGAATAGTGGAACTAAGCAAAGGTTAAAGTGTCCTTAGAGGCTTCTACATGAGACATGTCTCATAGATGTACATCTATATGAGACATGTAGATCTCATGTTATCTTAGAGATCTACATGTTGGATTTAAAAGAATATATATTAAAAACACACACATGTATTTTTTCACAATGTCTGACGTGAAATCAAAATAAACTTTTCCTGTTTTAGGTCAAATTTTTTCAGTTTCCTAAATGCCAGAATAATGAGAGAATTTTACCAACATCTGGTGGAACTGAGTCTGCTGAGCTCATCATATGAACTACTTCTCAGCCCAGCGCTCCTAACAGAATCATGGACAAACATTGTTGTGTTGACCGGAAGCTATTTAAAGAGACAGAGACCAATTTCAAGGCATCAAAATGTGAAGTCAAGAGTTATGTTTGACATATAGAGCATTTTTACAGCTTAAGTTAACATAGTTATTTGATTGTGCTCTAAAATGGCTTTGTGTACCTGAAAAATACATAACACTAAGCCTTCCATCATAACAAATTGTGCTGGATGATAAATGGTAATTGTCAGTTATTTGCGATAAATGATTAAATTTTTGTTTTGAAACCATTTTCAAGTATTGGCATAACAATGCAATAACGCATTCTCAAAGATCAATACATTTTCTAATGAACATTTAAAACTGGAACTGGAAGACATTTAAATATCCAAAATAAACCAAACAACAGAAACAACAAATGAATTATGGACTCTATAAACAAAACTGTTCTTCAGAAAAGACCTACCTGAGACCAAAGCACTACACTGAAGACTTTTGTAATCCAGTTTTTGGTAGAAAGAGAGAAAAGAGAAAAACAATAAGTTGTGCAAATGGAAATTATTGACTATGTTTTAATTTATCATGTGATTAATTGATTTATTGCGTAATGACAGGCCTTCATGAGATTGATCCTTTAATACTCTGATCAAAATTCTCTAATGACCTGAAGTCGTTCACTTTATCCTGAATAAACAACTTGTGTCCTTCAAGTAAAGTTCTCTTTAAGAAATTCCCTATTCAAACTTTGAACACTGTTTTAATACAATACAAAGACTGACAGTAATTTATTTGACAAGTACAAACTATCTTCACAAGCTTCCACTTTTATTTCCAAATGCTTCATATCTCTTTCATCTGTATTTGTGTTGCTTTTCTTATTTACTGTCTAACTTTGTATTTTAGATTATTTTAGTCATTGTAGACATAAAAATGTGCAGATGAGAATCAAGTGACAAATGTAAGGAGAGAAAAAATTAAAAACCTTTCAACAGCCTTTTAGCTGATGATTTCCTGCCGAGTAAAGCAAGCAACATAGATTTTTAACTTCTGAATGACCAGAATCTGCAGGAAATTAGGTTGAGAACTCATTATAGGACCTACTTTTCAGTGAAACACTCTTAAGAACGGTGTTAAAAGCTTGATAGAGAAATGCTGTTGTGATGACTTCCTGAAGGTGGAGTTTCATAGCCTGAGCTTCTTAAAGAGACAGAGGCCGAATTTAAAGGCGTTAAATAGTGAAGTCAAATTTCTTTTGTCATGTTTGATTGAAGATAATGATAGTTACTCGATTGTGCTGTAAAATGGCACTGTGTGCCTGGAACATAATACTGGCCCTTTAAATAAGAGCAGTAAACTAAAAATAGCACTGATGCATCTCTCCTCTTGCTGGTCGTCCTCACAGAACACTCTGAACATCACCAACAATAATTATTATTCAGTGGAAGTGGCCAACATCACAGCACAGGTGCAGTTTGCCAGGACGGTTATTGGTAACTCTCGCATCAGTAACGTCATCACTATAAATCCTCTCAACATGAAACAGGTACAACGTCTTCCTCCTCTGTCTGCACATTCACTTCTTCCATAGACCCATTGGAACAACCTGTCTCTGTTTATGTTTTCAGATTGATTATATGGTCCCCACTGTCATTGGAGATGAGTTAAACTACATGTAGTAAGTGTTAATTTTTTTATTTCATGCTATGTCACAGAAATTAACCTCCAGAGATGTAGTGGAGCAATAGTGTCAGTATTAGGATTTTATGTCACTTTAGTTTGTTTTTAGGAAGTGGCTTAAACTTTGTCCACAGTTGACTGCAGGAGAGTCTCTGAACTTCTTGAATAGCTGCTCTTCTTTGGCAGCTCACTGGAATGTTGAGAAATGTATCATTTTAGTATCTTTTGAAATACTTACTAGTTAATTCCTGCCTTGAAATGTAGTTTGCCACAACACATAGTCATCTTTGGTTTAATGGGACCATATTGAACCCTAAGAAACTATCACCTTTATATTTAAGTGTTTTATCCTGAAAACAACTAAATGTTTCTGATTAAACTGCTTTACCTGGGATCCATTTTCAAACATATTTAATGTTTTCTAGTGAATACTGCACCCTGGAAACCATCAAGGTACACAACATAGTTGTCATGACTCAGTAAGTTGACCATGTCACTTGTTCATATGTAATTCTAAATTGACATGTGCTGGCCACTTTATTAGGTATTGCTTGTCCTGGGTTGGAATCTCTTTCCTTTTGGAACTATTATAAATCTTCGTAGCATAGAATCAAAGTTGTTTGAGCTGCTGTTCTTTTTCCATAATCTAGGAGCAGTCTGCCTGTTTTTCTGACCTCTCACACCAACAAGGCATTTCTTTGACCAGTTATTCACTTTGGGTGTTTGCTGTAAACCTGGAGTACTTGTGTGTAAAAACCTTACCAGCAGTTTTTGAAATGCTCACATCTGGCAACAGTAACACATTCGACCTCTCTAGTTGTCTAAATCCATTGTGATGGTGTCCTGTGATTGGCTCCTGTGTGTCAGCAGAGTTTTGAGCAAGTTTGCTTCATAAAGTGGCCAGTGTGTGTCTGTGGTCACTGTTTGTAGTGTGTGTTTGGCTTTACCACATTCCTCTCCACTTATTCAGCGTGACCATCACTGCAACATACTTTGGCCACTCAGAGCAGATTTCTGAGGAGATGTATCAGTACGTGGACTGTGGGGGGAACACCACCGCCATCAGAGGGATAACCAGACCGATTGGCAACCCTGCTGAGTAATGGCTCTCATTCAGGCTAGCACCATCATGGTTTAGGTTTTGATTTTGTAAATGTTCAAAAGTTGCTGTATTCAATCACTAAAGTGTAAAATTAATGACAAATAAATATTTGTAAGTGAAGAGAAAGTTTAATTGTAATATGAAAAACTGTTTCTAGCTTATATAAAAGAATTATGAACAATTACTAAAATCAACCTTACTAATAATATTTGTTTTCTTATAAGTAAACCTTTTTAAATGGGAAGATGGAGAACATCACCCAGTTAAATTGGCTCCCTGAAGCTAAGAGAATAGACTTGAACTACTGTTGTTGGTTTATATATCACTGAACTGCTTTCCACCAAAATATATTACAATGTGCTCTACAAATAATAAATCAAGTTTATCTGTACAGCACATTTCAGCAACAAGGCAGTTCAAAGTGATTTACATCATAAAAATACAGTCATAAAAAAACACTGTATAGTCAACAATTGAGAAAACCAGTAACAAACATGCCATTTTGATGAGTGCAATGTTTAATTTAGTATGGTTCAAAAGAACCATTAATAAGTTGCTTTAATAAGTTATCCTTGAGTCTGCTGTAGATCTCATCTCCAGGTCCAGCTTCCAGTATTGGTCCACTGATAAGCACATTTGCTTTCAGTTTTTCAATTATGATAATTCATGTTTCTGAATTTCTGATTTCTGTTTGGCCAGATCATTAGCTCTGATGTGTATGATTAGGTTCTGAGTGTTTGGATGGCCAGTGGTTGAGTGTGGGAGTATTTTTCTGTTCTTAGTCACTGTGTCATGCAGAAAGGAGACTACCTTTGTTCTCTTTGCACTGCAGAAACAGTAGATTCCATTTGCAACCCCATCATTGTAAATGGATGGGGTAGCATTTAACCCATCCAGTAACTATAAGAACTTATAGTTACTGGAAGACATTGCCCACAATGCTTAGACCCACAGCTATAGAGTCTTACAAACAAACCAAAGAAATACAAAAATACAATACATTTGTTTATTCAGGATGACAATGCTGTTAAATTTGTTTTAATGGCTTCAGCATAGAAAAGTTTCAAGATTTTAAATCATTTAAATTTAAGATTTTAAGGAGCTGGAAAGTTTACTTTGTAAAAATTCAAAGAACAATCTTCATTGTTTATGTTACCACAGCTACAATCTGATGCTGTGAATTTAATCTGGGAGTTTGAGCTCTGTTTGTTCACAAATACAGCTTAGTAAATTACAATTATAACTGTTTTTAATTTATTTAATATATCTATGTTGAAATGCCGTTAGTGGCGCTGATGTTTGTAGCAGGAAGAGGGGTCCTTAAGTCAAATTCTGCTCAAGGCCTCATACAACCTTAGACCGGCCATGTAAGATGAGCTAAGTCCACTGAACTGGATACAGAGGAACTAACGGGGAGATTTAATTTATCTGGTAGAGATAAATGATCTGTTTTATCTGATAGAGAGCTTTTCCATTTCATGTCTATTGAATTTTTAATAAGCATGTAAATGCACATGGCACACTTAATTCTTTGTTCACAAAGATGCATCATTCTCACGGGACGCTCACCGCTCACCTCTGAAAGTGCGAGTGTTTATGTTTAAACGAGACTTTATGAAATCATTCACTGTCAGAGAGCTCACAGACATGAACATCTAGCTTAAAAAGTTAATTTATAGTTTTAACACATTTGACCCTGTCTGACCTGCTGTTAATAATGGAATGTCCTGTGAATTTAAATTTTGTTGTTTTTATGACATGTGAACATAACTCATCATTATTCCCTTTTGTGTTTTAAGCTATTTAAGGAAGTATGTTATGGATTCCTTACTTTTTGCATGATTATGATGTAATTTTATCATTTATTTTATATTTTTGAAATACTAAAACAGTGATTGTCATTCTTAATCTCCTTACATGCTGTTTTAAATGAAACAGATTTGCAGGTTCATGTCTTGTTCAATATTTGTTTAAAATGCTCTAAATTCTCTCCAAATTCTGCCAGGCGTCTTTATTAAACACTGTTTTGGGTAAATAATCGAGCAATTGTTTAAGTCAAGCAAAAACGTTTCTTTTAATAAATCTCCTAACCTGTTGTTTTTGACTAGTCCAGATCTTGTTTGCACTACATTACATTTAGGTTTAAAGTATTTAATAAAATTATGAAACCTGCACACTTATGTTGCATTTATTGTTTCTTTATTTCAGCAAAAAGCAAGGGGAGGATTATAATAATTGTAGTTATGACAGAAATATAGGGGGGGGTTGTGGTTATATGATAAATTTTTACATGGTTCAATGTTATGCTGATAAACATTTTAGTTCTCAAAGCTTATGATGGCACACAATTTTTATTCTGCAGAAAAACTATTTTTCAGAATTCTCAAACAATTTATGAGATTATATGCAAGAGAAACTAATTAAACTTCTGTTGTCCTAAAATTCTTTGACAGCAACTGCAGTTTTCCTCCATGTGAGGCCACTTAGTGGAAAGTAACACAGGTTATTTGCTTTCCTTTAGAGGAAACAAATGGTAGCACAGCAAAGCATTTCAAGCAGTTTTCTGCTCATCTTTTTTAGCACTCTGTATTTATAGTGCTTACAGCTGGTCTCTTTAAAAGTCTTATCACAGGACTACACTTAAGTGATTTTCGCTGACCAGTTTGCAACAAAAGACTGAAAAAAAGATTTTTGTAAAAGTGTAAACTTTCTATAGATTTCTATTAAATGATGACTAGCCCTGATCCTGCTGCACATGCAGTATATGTAAAGCAGATTTATATGGAAGGTAAAACATCTGCATGCTTCTCATAACTGCAATCCAGAAGAATTAATTAGACAGATTATGTAGCACTGTTAGCAGGTAACGTGCAGAAATGGATGTCCTTTAAGCTTTTAAACTTGACTGATGTCTAATTCAACTCTCATACATCACAGTGAACTGAAGTTTGAACAAAGAAGAATTTGGACAATCAAGCATGATCTCATGCGACCCAGACCTCCTCCTTTCTTTGTGTTTCACAGCACAGTGGTGAAACGTTAAACGGCCGTTCTGCCTCAGTATGGATAGATAGTCCAGATCTGTTATGGTTTAAAACTTCATACACAATTATGGTTGATGTGATTACTTAGATCTTGTTTCCCTACATTCAAATTCGTTTGACAGGTAATTGTAGCAGACATACAGTATAATTATAATCCCCCTGGCAATGTCAGCCAAAAGTTGTTTATTAATAATCCGAGCTGGACCAACAGGGAGCAAGTGACGAATCCACCCTGGTGGTCTTGTTACTAATCCATCCCTTAGAGAGATCCAGTAATAGTCGTTACAGGTCAGGTGTTGGAGTACTGTTACTGGGCAGGCATAGCAACCATAAGAGCTTCAGTTTTTATTGTGTTTGATGTAGCTCACAACCTGTCTCATTTAGCTTTAAATGTAATCTGAAATAAGTTTCTTTTTCAAACGATCCTTAGATTTAAGTAAAGATTCATGAATTATAATTGCATCTTCATAAGTTAATAGGGGAGAAGGAGTCGTGTGCTTAATTAGAAGGGAAGTGATGGGAGTGAGGCGACAGATGACGTGTTTACTGCTGCTGTTCAGTCACCACCGCTCCTCCTTCTGGTGTTCAGAAGGAAAACAAAGCAAACTACTGGAGACAAGCTAATAACAGGTTTTTATTTCAAGATGGTTTTGTTTTTCCTAATTAAATTCATCTTGTAGAGACTGTTGCCTTCTTTATCTATGAAAAAGATAACCTTCACTCAGGATTTTGCTGACGCACCTTTGACAGCTGTCACAGCCTGACATCTTCTTGAAAATATCTCTAGAAACTTGGTACAGCAGTTTGAGGGAAATTTCTACAGATCATTTCTGCGTCCTCTCAGGGTCAATCAGGTTGCATGGGCAGCATCAGTGGGTAGTAATCCACCCTACAACACCACGAAGATCACTGAAAACAGCAGACGGACCAGAGAGAAAGCATCGGCAAAGTACAGAATTGGGTTCTAAAATATTATCCAAGCTTTGAACGTGTCACAGAGCTGAGAGGGTGAATATGGAAAGATGATGGACCTGCCAAGATATGGCCATCCAGCTAAGTAAAAACTACTTCCTGCCATGGTTATTAGGTGTTTGTTCAGAAGAAAATAAAACTATGCACCATTTTTCTTGGACCTCACAGTAATAGTCTACTTTGTGTTGTTCTATCATTATATAAAATTACAATAAAATAGAATTTTGGTTGTAATGTGGGAAAATGTTCCATATGTGGGTTCTTTTCAGAGGTCATGTAAATAATAAATGAATTGGATTTTGAATGTGAATGTTCTAACCTAATTTTTTTGTGTGTTTTTTAGCCTAATTTTAGCCATACATGGTTTACACCCAAACTTAGTGAACTGCTCCTGACTGACCCATCAGACAGAGAGACAACTGTAGACTCCCAACTGTTGTCTCTCATTATAGCCCAATGAGTAGGTGGAGGGGCCTTGTAATGGGAGGGTCTCGGTGTCTGTCATATAAATGAGCTGCTGTTCTCTTAGTGTTTGGTTTGTCCTCTAGTTTGCCAGACCACCAGGTCCACACCTTGCAGAAATCTGACTTTATCTTTGTTCAGTCTGCAAACATCCCCCAACAGCAAACATGGAAGCCATCAAAAAAAAGATGCTTATGCTGAAGTTGGACAAGGAGAATGCATTGGACCGGGCTGAGCAAGCTGAGGCAGACAAGAAAGGAGCCGAGGAGAGGAGCAAACAGGTCTGCCATGGAACACACACACACACACACACACACACACAGTCTCTCTATCTTCACAGGGACCTTGTATTGACTTCCATTCATTTTTCCTTTATTCCTACAGCCTAACCCTGACACCTACCCTAAACTTAACTAGTACCAGTTCACACCTTAGTCCTAAACCTAACTTCTAAACCAAAAACAGCACTGCTTCATATGGGGCCAGAGCTTTGGGTCAGTCATTCACCACAACGTAATACTTGTTGGAAAAATGGTCCACGCACACATACGCACATACACAGTAAAATAGGTAGTCTTTATGGGACTGGGTGAGTTTCCCTGAACAGTTTTACATAGAAATGTCTACATGAGTATTGATTGTTTTGATTGTCTAATTTACAAGTTGAACTTGAAGTCATACTATATTTGGATCTATCTTTTTAAATTTTCTCAACAGACCTGAAAGTTTCACATGGACTTGGTCTGCCTGTAGTTTCAGAAGATGACCAATCTGTCTTTAGAAATGCAGATTTATGCTTTTGAGCTACTGTCTGTTTTTATCTTCGTACTGGGAAAAAAAAAAATCTTATTTTATTTAATAGTAAAAAACCTAAACATGACTCACAGACAACAAAATGGCTCCAACAGAGGCTAAAACTTGTGGTTAAGTAGAAACACTTGGGCTAGAATGGGTTTAGTGACAATTTCAGAATGTAGTGCTAGAAAATAAGAACATTTTTTTACTTTAAAAAAATGTAATGTAGATTAATTGTAAATATATATTATACATATGTATTATATTTAGAACACTTTCTTAAAGTGGCCATTGTGTGGAATCAGGTTTGTTCCCTAACAAGGACCAGAGGAATTTCTAAACAGAAATCAATAAATGTTCTTTTAGTTTAAAAAGTTTAAGTCAGTATAATTTTATACATGGTTGCAGTGCTTCTGAACTTTTGTGGTCTTTTACACCATCAGCATGAAGACGAACTTCTGCAGATGCAAAAGAAGCTGAAGGGGACGGAAGATGAGCTTGATAAATATTCAGAAGCCCTGAAGGATGCCCAGGAGAAGCTGGAGGTTGCTGATAAAAAGGCTGCTGATGTGAGTGACACACCTCTGAAAGAGAAGCCATGCTACACACACTCAGACATGTTCAGAGGGCATTTTCTCTTCTTTGACCAGAAGGAATTGAATATGGACATGGTTCAGTTACCTCAAGAAAAAATATTTTTGCTTGTTCATTAAGTTTAATAGAGATCAAATATGTCATGTGTTTTGGATTTGTGTAGACAAATCCAAAACACAAGACAGCACATGAAAATGCACAAAGTACGACAAGGCACTACGTCACAAGATATCTTCATTAATTTCAGTCATTAATTACTCTGAAATTGGAATCATTAAGTTTTTGTGACTTCAGTAGCATAATGCTTATTTACACTGTGTTCTGTAGCAGCAGTTACATTTACCCTGACTTCCAGTTTAGAGTTCTGCCTGGAGAAAGAACAGCTGTAAACTGACAGACACACGGCATATACAGTAACACATTACTGTCATGCCATAAAACTGACAGTAACAACTGTTTTTGCTTTAGAAGGAATATGTATTTTATTATTCTAATAAAGCAACTTTAACTGTGTTTAATGTTGGATGTGTGGTGTAGAGTGGAAAACTAAACTGGTTCTACTGCTTCAGTGAGATGTAGGCTGACGCTCTGAGTCATGAAAAGGCAGATAGTCCTGGGGATTCAGAACATCATCAGTTGCCTAATCTTATATTCATTTAGTTTTGATGTCAACATGCATTTGAGGACCTCACTGTGTGCAACCTTGAATGTGTTCAGTGCAAACTGAGCTCATCTGATTTCTTTTCTCTCTGTCACATTCCATTCTCATGGTGCCCTGAATGGAACGCTCACAGCTGTTGGGAGGATTCAGACTCCTATTTTGACTCTGATGTCACCTGCTTAGCCTTGACAATGGCTCATGTCCATTTTTGGGCCTCTACCCCTGGCTCCCAGGTCACTGTTCAGGAACTACTACCCTCTTTTTTAAGGCAAATATTATCATACTCATTTTGTGTTGCTCTGTTGGTTCAAAGAGAAAAATAATTATCTCAGAGAATTTTTCTGCATTACTTAAAGTATGCTTAGCAATTGTCTGACACTATGTGCTCTCAATGGAGTCCTATTCAGCCACAGACGGATCAATGGGTCATTCTTGTTTCTTCACTCTGTTATCTATGTTTAATCAAAACCAGAAAAGAAATACAAAAACGTTTTTACTTCAGGACTCTGTTCTTCTGTGACTGAATGAATCCTGACTCACTACTGAACAATTTGTCAGTGTCTCTATATAGACGAAACAGCTGTCACCCAGGCAAATACCTGCAGAGCACATACAGTTCACACTGTTTAGCTAACAAGCTAACAGTTCTTCCACAGGAAATATAGAAGCAAGCAATTTTT